GATCAAGATGACGGATCCGATCGTGCCATGGCTTGTGAACTCAGTAGGGTGGATGATCACCAGATTCCAGCCTCGCAGTCACGGAGGTTCCTCCTACAAGATGCTCTACGGCAAAGAGTACAACGGCGAGATTGCGGAAATGGGTGAGCAGGTCTGGTATCGGATCTCAGCCCGAGTTGCCGCGGGACGTGGCAAATGGGAAGCCCGCTTCGCAAAAGGAATCTGGGTTGGTAAGAGCGAGCTGGACGACACACATCTCGTGATCGATCCTGAACGTGGAGTGCAGAAGGTGAGAACGGTGCGAAGGATGCCTGAGGAGTTCAGGTGGCAGCCCGAGCTCATCCAGCACATCAGGGTGACGCCCTGGAAGCAGACGCCCGACAAGAGTTCAGGAACGATCGGACGCAGCATGTACATCACGGAGCGCATGATCGATGCTCATGGTCCTACCGACGATTGCAGGAAGTGCAGTACAGGATACGGTTCGCATTCGGCAGCCTGCCGACAGCGTTTCGAGACCATTCAGGCCGACTTGCTGCGCGAGAAGTTGGCGAAGGACCCTGTGGCCCCTGAGGCTACAGTCGTGGTGCCAGCGCCGGCTGCGGGAAGCCCCGCGCCTGGAGCCGCACCCGGAGGAGCAGCGGCATCAAGCAGCAGTGAGGTTGCGGTGAGCCCCGCACCTGCTGCCAGTGACGTAGCTATGGTTCCTGGCCCAGGAGAGGCTGAGGTGCAGACAGCCATGGACACGGAGAGTGGAGAGCTCAGGAGCGACTTTCGGCGAAGCGCCCCAGGTGAAGTTCATGAAGGAGCTGAGGTCAAGAAGCCCAGGGTAGCAAGCATTGGGCATCTCTCTGTCTGTGAGTTGGCAGTCTGCGAGGAGGGCTACGACGAGAGCTTCGACCCCATGTGGGATCCACACCCAAAGCGCAGTGCGAGATGTTCCGAGAGGTGTGAGAAGCACTCATCACGATGCCAGCTACGAGAATGCCACCAAGCTGAGTGTGCATGCAGGAGATGTTTGATGAGCCACATCGGCACAATCAGGAGCCACTTCGGAGATCCTGAGGAGCAGCAGGTGGAGCAGATGGTTGAGGTGAGCGCCGAGCTGCATGAGAAAGACCAGTGGAGCCCAAAGACGATACACTACGATTACTACACTGGAGAGCCTCTGGATGAGGACCTGTATCAGAAGGGTCGCGACGACGAGCTGCAGGCCATGAAGGACTATGGGGTCTACGTGGAAGTGGCGACATCGACGGCGACCGACGGCAAGCACATTGGAGGGTTCCCGATAGCCCACATGAAAGAAGGAAAGGTCAGGTGGAGGTTCGTAGCAACCGAGGTGAACAAGTACGAGGTCAGGGAGGACAACCACCAAGGCACGCCCCCGCTCATGATCGTCAGAGCGACGCTGAGCCGTGCCGCTTCAAGTCCAACTTCCAGCGGGCAGCACCTGCGGAAGATACAAGTCTGGGACGTCAGGAAGGCTTTCTTCAACGCTGACTTAGACGAGACGATCTACGTGCATCCTGGGAGAGAGCTGTGTCCGCCTGGAAGGTGCTGGTGGTTACGCAAGGCCATGAACGGTACCAGGAAGGCGTCGCAGATGTGGGGTGAGCTTGTGAGAACTACTATGGACGACGGCCATTGGGAATGCTTGGTTGGAACTCCTAACGTGTTCTACTTACCTGCTAGCCCCAACACAGCCCCCTTCGACGAGGATAGCACAGCGATCTGCCATGGCGATGACTTTCTTGCTGAGGGCTACGACGAGCAGCTGGACGAGCTGGACGAGTTGTTGAAGCAGCAGTTTGAGGTCACGGCCAGCGCCAGACTTGGACCAGGAGCGGTGGGGCAGACTACATACCTCAAGAGGACGATCGGCTACACCGACAAGTTGCCAGGTTGCGAGGAGCCAGGTTTCTTCTGGACTGCCGATCCTAAGCATGTGGACTTCATGATCAAGTGGACGCAGAAGCGAGGTTGTAAACCAGCTCCCACTCCAGGGACGAAAGCTACAGGACAAGGCCGACGAGACAGCCTAGACCTTCTTTCCAAGGATCGTGCTCGAGAAGTGGCGGGTGCAGCTGGCACCGCTCTTTACCTTTCTTCGGACAGGCCCGACACGATGTACGCCAGCAAGACAGCGATGCAGCACGTCTCCAACCCGAACGTCTTGATGCATGCGCGTGTTCAGCGACTTGGAAGGTACTACGAAGGACAGCCTGTGTTGGTCTGGTGTTACCCACTTCAAGGTACTCCTGAAGGCATTCGTGTAGATGGTGACGCAGATTGGGCACCTACGAGTGAACTACAGCGGCGATCTACCAGTGGAGGAGCTGTGAGGTATGGTGATCACACTTGGGACTGCTACTCAGTGACGCAGAGTACGATAGCCCTAAGTTCAGGGGAATCCGAGATGTACGCTACGGGAAGTGCGACAGCCAGAGGACTTCAGTGTAAGACGTACCTGATCGAGACCCAGAGGCCCTGCAACCTGAAGGTCTATAGTGATAGCACAGCTGGACGTGGCATGTGCAGTCGAGTTGGGGTGGGCAAGGTCAGGCACCTGGAGTTGAGGTACTTGTGGATTCAGGAGCGGTTGCGTCTCAAGGCGTTCGAGCTGCACAAGGAGGACACCAGCAAGATGACAGCCGACATGCTCACGAAGTACAGCGAGTGGCCGACAATCGAGAAGCATTGCACCACTCTCAACCTCAGGTTCGGAAAGCAGTTGAAGGGCTTGAGCGCAATGGCAGTTTTCACGGAGGTCGTGACGCAGGCGTCAGGCGAGAAGGTGACAGTGTACGGAGGTTCTGACGAGGTTGCGGTTTGCCCCGCGCCTGTCAGCCACTACGTGGACAGCGAGGAGTTCTGGTTCTTCCTGAAGTTGGGACTAGTTGTGGTGACTGCAGCCAGTGCTTTCTTACTGGGGTGCTGGTGTGGTTGTTACTTCAAGGACTTCTACGACAAGTTCCTCCTCCAGGGTGCGGTTGACCCCGCCTCTGGAAGCACGTGTATACCATCTGCGCGGGCTGAGGCCGAGTTCAAGACCGTGTGTGTACAGCAGGACAAAGGAGCAAGGCACAAGCTCTTAAGCACGTTTCTTGTAGCTGAGCTGCGAGCTGTCTTGAAGGCCAAGAGCCTGGCCGTGTCAGGGATCAAGGAGGACCTGGTCACGAGGATGATCAAGCACGGATGCGTTCTGTCGGATCGCCAGGCCAAGGAGATCGAGCAGCTGCGAGTGATGGCTAC